AGGGGGGCCCAGGAGGCTCCAGGAGGCCCCAGGAGGCTCCAGGAGGCCCCAGGAAGACCCCAGAGGCCCCGGGCTCATGCGCAGAGACGCACTCGAACTTCTGAAACTCATTCGCATTCCCAGACCGTCAGTACTCAAGCCAGCTTATAGTCAAAAGCTCTTGCGCCTAGACACTCACGGCGGACAGGTACATACGAGTAAGACGCATATGTGGGGAGTTCCACGCAATGAATAACCCTTACTCCGACCGCGTTGGTTCCTTCCACACTCACCTGGTCCTTTTTTCCTCACTCAAAATCATTCTCAAGGTCACTACTCAGGCTACGATGTCATGATGTTGATGGTGATGTTGATGGTGATGAGGATGATGATGATGCTGCTGATGATGATACTGATGTTGTCTGTCTCTCAAAGCTAGCGGAACACGGTTCTGTTGCTGGACCTGGACTCGAGATTTCCGCTACTGCTGTCAAGCTGGAGTGTGAAAAAGCCTTGAGGCCTATCGTACCGCAAGGAAAATCGATTCATAACGCACCCCGCGTTAAATAGGGTGCTGGAATGGGAAGCTTGAGCACAAACGATCACGGACCATTGCAATCACGACGGTCGCATGCGAGGACAGCAATCCCGTGGCACCCACATTCATGCTGTCTGTCTCTCAAAGCTAGCGGAGCACAGTTCTGTTGCTGAACCTGGACCCGAAGCATTCGCTACTACTGTCAAGCTGGAGTGTTTAAAGGTCTTGACGCCTATCGCACAGCCAAGAGAATCGATCCGAAACGCACCCCGGAGCGAGTGCCGAGACTGAGGCCCGAATCGGTAGATCTCAGCGCAGCGTCATAAATAATTGTCGCATTCCTTTCGCAGAACGGATGCTGAGAGAAACGCCTGGGCTAACGCGGTGGCCGGCCGAGGATGGCACGCCGCCGATTCCGCAGGATCCCGCGACCCGTCTACCACTACATACTTGCGCCCTGTCGCGGAGCAAACCTCGTGCTTGCCCTGGCACCGGCTCTGGAAAGGGCAGCCCAATTCATCGCAACAGTCGAAGGCCAATCGGGCGGCCTTCGTGTGCGCAGAGCCGAATTGGCACTGATGGATATCGCAGATCTTCGCGTGCAGTTTTGGGAGTGTGGCACAGCGCCTCATCGTGCCACATATAGCTGGACTGCGGGTGCTCGATACAGCAGGGCACCCGTTCTCTCACGCGCACGCGCACGACCTGAATTACAAAATCGAAAAAGCGTTTGCCCAGCCTGACCTTCGCCTTCCGGTCAGCTGGGAGCCTGAGGAGGCCTCGTGGGTACTGCTTGCATGCTTCGATTGGGGCATGTCGAATTCTGGCCAATCGAAGAAGATGCGCACGGCGGGCCCATCATAACGGCCAAGACTAACCCTCTCCGCAGGCTCGCAAAACCTTGGCCTGCACGCACCTCCTCAGAAGATCGCCCGCCGGCCCGCCACGGAGGTCGCACTCTTTGGTCTCGAACCTCCAGCGCCGCGCAGCTCGCGCCACCCCGCCGACCCCCGAGAAAAGATCCAGGAAGTACATCGTCGCGCCTACAAGAACGGGCGCGCCGGCAGGGGGGGCCCTCGCAGGCGCACGTCGACCAGGCAGTCCTCGCAGACGAGGGCGCGCGCCTGCACGTCCGGGTTCAACTTTCTCCACGCATCGCTCAGGTGGCCAGTCTTTTCGCAGCGCGCGACAGAGCGAGATGATGACCACCTTCCTCTCTTCATCGCCTCCTCCTGGGTCTTCAGGTGGAACGCTCGGTCGAGGCTGATGCCGCTGTGCCGCGCCTGGTACGTCGCGACCTCGATCCCCATGCGCTCCCCTGCGGCCTGCACCAGCCTGCCCAACTGCTGGTAGTCCCACGGGAACAGCCCCTCCGGCGCGGGCCCTGAGGCCAAGTGCGCCAGCACCGGGTCTGCCCACCGCATCCGCTCGGAGCCCATCACCACGGTGTCGTCGGCGCTCCCGACCTTGCTGCGCTTGGCCTCCTCCTGCAGGAAGAGGTGCAGGCTCTTGTCTACGAGCCCTCGTCGCGCCCGCGGCACAAGGGAGCCGCGCCGGAGGCTCAGCTACTCGGACGGCCTCAGGCACGCGGCCACCATCAGCAGCAGCCCGGAGCCAGCCCGCCCCTGCCCGCTCGTCAGCAGCTCCAGCGTCAAGGCGGCCCACACCGCCCACGGGAGCGGCCGGCGGCTGTATTTCGGGCACAGGTTCCTCCATCCCTTCAAGCACCAGAGGGTCCGCGGAGGGCGCCCGCTGCCTCCTTTCGCGAAGCTCGGGAAGGCGCGCATCAGGGCCTGGACCTTTCGCACGCAGTCCCAATGCCGGACTCGGCTGGCCTCGGACACGCTGACGGCCCCCAGGTAGCCCTGCCCAGGAAGCCTAAGCCTCGTCGCGGCCCCCTCGGCCATCCGCGCCACGCGCCGCCGCGCCCGCTGCCGTGCCAGCAGCTCGCTCCGGCGGAGTCGCTCTCGCCGTCCTCGACGG